GACCCTCCAGTGCCAGCAGAGGCCCCATCCCGCTGTGACATCATGGGCAGGGCCAGCACCGCAGCTGCTCTCTGGGCCAAGGGCCTGGGGAGAAGCCATGGCTGGCCTGCCCCGTCCTGCCTGCCAGACGGCTGCTGCTGGCCCAGGGCGATGCACAGGGCTCAAAGTTCTCCCTGCCTGGTGACACTGCTGCCCCATGCCCTGGGCCGTGGGCCAGTTCAGCCCCCTCGGCTGCCTCCACTGTCCCCCCTGGGCCCCAGGACACTTGGGGATGGCAGTGCCCCCTGCCTGCCCCACGCTGCAGGAGGAGCACAGTCCCCTGTCACTGCCCACCTTATCCCCTCCAGGACGACCTGCACGAGCGCAGCCCAGACTTTGGCACAGGTATTTGGCAGGATAAAGTCCACCTGAGAAAGTGCAAGCCCAACCCTGCAGCAGAACAGGGCTGTGTGCCCAGCGGTGCCCTCCCAGCCTCTCACTGCCCTGGCTGTGCTGTACCTGTGCCATGGGGGCTGTCCCAGGTCCCCAGGTGTTCCCTGAGCTGGGCCAAGGAAACATGCATAGGCAGCTGGGCTCTGGGGCCAGGAGGCATTGCCACTCTTTGCTGGACACACTGAGACCACAGAGGGGTCTGGAGGGTCCACCAGCCCTCTCCCAGTGTGTGGGACAGGGTGCTGCTGGGGAGGAGTGGTGGGAGCCCAGGGGTCCTGCTCAGGGTAGTGATGGGACAAACGTCCCAGAGCAGGGGTGGGGTCCAGCAGGGTCAGACTGCTGACAGTGCTCCCTCAGATGACCAGGATTTAAGGATCCTCAGGCAAACGCCCCAGCTGCCCACCCCAGGCTTGAGGAGGGGGAGGAGGAGAGGAGGGAAGAGGAAGAGGAGGGGAGGGGGCCCAGCAGCTCCGAAATAGCAGCAGCTGGTGTGTGTGTGGGAGGTGCTGAGCACCCAGCCCTGACAGCAGCCCAAAATAACCCAGATCCAGTTACACGTGCTCCTTAGCGACGGCACAGGCATCACCCACCGCAGCGGGCACCGGCACCAGCGGCGACCG